CTGCATGGGCGTTTTCGTGAATTTCCCCATGTGTAACATGTGTACGACCCAGTTTTCCTTAGAAAGTCCCCCACAAAGCCTCCTTTTCCTTAGGCAGATAGCCCTCAAGTGCTTAGCCTTAATCAAATCTTCTCAGTATGAAAGAGCACAATCAATACTTTTAATACTTTCAATACTTTTACTTACTCTTTAAACTACTAAGAACGTTAAACAGAATGTAATGCAAAGCCCTTGTAGAGTACGAAGATCTAATGTTTAATTAAAAAATGAGAAACTATTCAGTTAACGTTATGCCACGATACTGCGAATTTTGCAATGTTTCTGTCACAATACAAATTTTGCACTAAAGGCACGCACTTCACATAAAAATACATCGAGTGAAACTCCCAGAAGAGAAAATTTAACAAATGTGAAAGGGAGAACATTTTCTCATGAAACCAGAGTTCTAATGAATTGGAATATGAGATTAAAGTTATATCAGAGACAAAAATCGGTTGTATACAAAATTCAAACAAGAAATTCAAATAGAAACAGAAGAATAACTGTATACAATATATACATATACAGGAGTGCCTGTGTAGAGTTTACATAGAAAATTTAAATCTCTTAGGAGATGTGCGACATAAGGGCGTAATTCTTTGTTTTCGTGTAGAATTTCATATTGAAACAAGTTGAAATTCGTGAGGTGGTAGCTTTTTGAAAGAAACTTCTATCGATTTTTGTAGAGAAACTTATTGGTAGTTTCAGTATTGATGTTCTAGTGCAATCTTTGATTGTGTTTGCATTAGTAATGATGTGCAGATATTTACTTTGCACTTGTCGGTGTTTGAGCAGTTTAAGCCGGTGAAACATAGGAACGAACCGGGTACACAGTTGAGATATAAATGAGACATTTCTTTCTTAAGTATAATTTGGAATAATTGCCAATAATGAGGAAAGGTAGTTGATGACTTCTGTTTTTTTATTCTTAACTTTTCGATATGATCCTTTCAGTTAAGTTTCTTATTGAAAGTGATACCAAGATATTTGGCATTTGTGAACTTTTGGAATAATTTCATCAAAGACAGTCAGTTTTTTCTTAGGTAAAATATTCACATGCTTTTTACGAATAATTAAAAACAGATTTTTAAGTATTGATGGATATTCTCCATTTTGCACACCAGTCTTCAATTAATGGCGTTAACTCTTGGAGGTTTATGGTATGATTTGACTGCCAAGGCAGTATCATAGCATAACATTCCATAAAATAATTTGTATAATTCACTGGTTTTGGAAAGTCCGTCATCTAGGAGTGGCAAAAGATAAGGCCTATGATAGAGCCCTGTGGAACACCAGCTCTAATTTCCCGTAAATCTGATTGTGCTTTACCAATAATAAGAGTCTCCGATCTTATGTAGTTTCCCTCGGCGGCTGAGAAATCTCTAGTACCTTCCAAATTCCCGAAATTACTGGAAGACATAACGGCCGGATACAGTTGCAGTTACGTATAGTGATCAATTACTGTTATGCAGGGACTGGGCCAAAATGTCGCTAAGTTTGGCGATAAAGGTTAGTCGTCAAAACTATCACAGAATTTCCGATACACAGTCTCACGCGTTGGAGGTAAAAAAATTTTTTTTTTCCCTGTACAACGTTGTTTTTGCTCACTTTGAAATCCTTGAGTTTGTTATTCAAAAATTCGTTAAAGTTTCACAAAACATGAAATCGATAATAAAACAAATTTCAAATTTGCGCTTCCAGATGCCCACATTCGCAGTAGAATTACGTCATTCAAAAATATTTGGTATTTGATCCAGGCGAAAGGCCTGGAGCATGGTTAATTTTCGTGGGTTTTCCCATGTATTGAACGTCCTACGTTAAATTCCCCATATCCAGTTCCCTTAAATCCTCCATGAAGACATATCTTCCCTTAGGCAGATAGTTCTCGTGAGCTTTGCCATATTTACGCCACCTAACTTGGGTTTTTCGTTAATGTTCACATCCACAAATGGCTGACTGGATAAAACTGGAAACTTCACCTGATACGGTTTATGGCAAACGAGTTGGCTGCTTATAGCCAATAGGTTGGGTCTGTAGAAATCGTAGTTCGGTAGCCACGTCATCCTTGCTGTCAATATCACATTAAAATATTATCACTGCACGCATACTACATAATAAAAATTAATCTTTTATTTCAGGATCAGATATGCGTACTATCCCTCGACTGCCGATCTATTATGTTCTGCGCTTCTCCAAAAACTTCTCCTAAGATCCCAATCACATTATTCGCTTCTACACTACGCGGGACTGGAGGTCGAAAGGGACAATTCTCAGAACCCGTCCATTTCCAGGAAGCCCACGTAGTTAGGTTACCATTTTGAATTACTACAAAGACTTTAACAGTAATCCAAAATAACGCCAAACAGTAATTCATGATCGCTTAGATTGGGATCACGTGATCCTTCAGAAGCAGAACTTTCGTCTGACTGGTTGTTCTCTACCCGAGAAAGAGCTACAGCCGAAACAGTTTTGGCGAGGTATCAAAAAATCCGTCGTAGTACGAGTGCTATCAGAATCGCGTTTCTCAGAAAACGTTCCCCTTAAAAGATAGCCCCGCGTGCTTTACTGTACGAGATTAATCAACCAAATCAGTCTTTAATGTTGGTACGCCTTTTATCAGTCAAACGAATTTTTGTTGTAAGAAAGTTTTGAGCTTGAGCAGATCTTCGTAAGCCAGTGATGTGAAACTTGAGCAGTTTTGAAAATAAATTGATGCTATTAATTCAGATGTCTGTTAACTCAGATTGTCTGTTAATTGAGATGAGTTGTTTAAACGTAATGAAACATGCATCAAAGAAACTTGATTGCGGCAAGGAAATAATATTGTTACGAATTTTGTATATATGTAAATAATTTTAGTGAAATTGTAATTAAATTGTGGTATCCCTTGCATAATATAACATGAACGGCCTCAAGAAAGCGAAGCTTTGCCGGAAAAAATAACGTTACAGGGGCTGGTCCATTTAACATTGAAGTAAATGGCTAGCGCGATAGAGCCAAGCTGGCGATGGCTTTAGCGGCAAATTTGTTAAGCAATCACCAAAAGTCATCAGAATCTTGACGGGCGACATTTTGGTTCTAAATCAGTGCAACTGTAGCTGGTACCATCATTATGTAACTAGAATTATGTATATCCGGGCCTAGATAACTGTAACTGTGTATTAGTTCAGAATTTCGCTCGGATAATAATGAGAGATTACTGTGCGAACTTATACATTTGCGGTTTTTTAAAATACCTTGTATTTAACATTCTTAGTAATTTGAAGTGGTAACTACTGATTGTGATCTATTATAACGAGAAGAGCTATGCGAGTACTTTTGTGAAAATTTCCAGAAATGTATAGTGTTTCTTTCGGGAAAATAAATGTTGTCAAGCTATTATTTGGTTGTGTGTGCATTCAGTCCATTAAGATGCATAGGAAAGTTGCAATTTTTGGTGTTAGATGTGGGTCGGAATGCTGGTGACAAGACCGACGGAGAGGCAATTAAGTAACTGCTGACAGCCTTTCCTGCGTTCCGAGATAAAATGGAAAGAGCCACCAAGTCTGTTAAAGAAGAGACGGAAGCTATCTAAGTAAATATAGAAGAAGCTAAAGAGTTCAAGAAAAGATGGAAGAATATCAAGAAAAGGTGAAAGCGGCTGGGTTCGAATCCCGGAGAAGTCATGGATGTTTGTAAATGTATAATGTCTGTCATGGCGACATTCTAAATATGTGGCAAGCTGAAAGTCCTCTCAAAAGGTTGCTGGTAGAGGAAGACAGGTGAGAGACCCTCGGATCCTTTGCCTCCCTCTCTCGGGATGCTGTCATTCAAAATTGGGGTAGGAGTTGAGCTCTGTCACCTGTATGGAGCCCAAGGCTATTGCCAATGACAAGCGCTATCTTGGCTCCTTGCCACAACGAATTTCGTGGGCTTCCTCTGATATCAGAAAAGCAAGATTAGTCACAGCAACAAAGGGTGTGCCAACTAGAGCACGCTTTAAGATCATAAACTGCACAAATAACCTGTTTTGCGTCTTGTGCTTGCTTTCGGAGATATGCTTAAATACGACATAATAATGCATTTATTCTTTAATGCAAAACTTAAATTTACAGAGGGATCTTAGCCATGGTCCAGTTTTAAGCATTGATCTAAAAATTGAAGCTATCGTTTTCGAATTAAATCCTTCAGTTAAGGTCCTGTCACTTGGTGTTTTCTCTAAACCTCACCGTAAAGTTATATCGAGTTGGAAGGCTAGTTGATCCACTGAAGCTCATCGGGTTGTCAGTTCTGAAAACTTATAACATCCCTAATCCTTAGCATGGTTTTATGAAATGCAATTTGATCCATGGTACCTCTCCGACTAATTCTAACCAAACATATGTCCAGATTCAGGTGAATAGACTGGTTCTATGACGTTTTCTTGATTTTCACATGCCTAATGTAAATACGAGCCAGTTTGCCATAGAAAGACCTCCACGAAAGCAACCCCAACAAGCCAGATAGCTTTCGCATGCTTTGCTGCAATCAATTAACCTAACAGTTCAACTAATGTCAAGACTTTCTTTCACACTTAACATTTTCAAAATGTCTTTATTTCTGAAATTCTAACATCCTTTATCAAATAATCGACGATCTTGTCGTGTAAGTCATAAAGATCACGTGTTTTGTTCATAGTAGGGGCTGTTTTAGAGCTCTTATATCCGAAACACTATAAACTGTACGCTTACGAAGAGTTTTATTTTAACATTTGCAATGTATATTTTGCCACGCAGGAGACACGTCTGAATTTTTTGGTGATCCTAATAATGTATTTCAGCCCCCTATATTCTCTCTTTTGAAGAAGAGAGATTAATTATCAGATTCGATTTTAAAATTGCTGTTGCCATATTGTGAGTTGAAAATATTTTCCTTTAAAGTGAATGTTCCGAATGAGTTATTCATATTTAAAATGTATATAATAATAAAAAATAACCAAAACATTGATAAAATATTACATTTATTTATGAGAATATATACCTTTTGACGACGTAAGCCGCTAATATGAAAGTTTTCACCATTCTTTCAAAGTTTCTGCTATTTATGCTTTACCTGTCTGACACCTTCATAAATTTAATTTATTTGTGCTTTTTTGTGGCACTGTAAAAGTCTCTCACTGATTGTTCTTTATTTTTCCAAGTATCTCCTCAAAAGTATTTTTTGAAGCTTGCAATCAAAATTGTAGTTTTAAATATTTTTAAATGCGATAGAAGCAAAGTATTATGTACAAGAGAATTTTTTTAAATAATCCTTCAAGAAAGTTCACTGCCAGATCACCGAAATCAAAGCAGATTAAAATGAGTTAATAGCAATTGGCAATCTGCACAACCCTCAAGAGGTTTTCTGTCTTTTGCCTTATATGGCGATTCTCATCAAACAGGATACTATCACAGATCCGTAGGAGGTGCAGCATGTTTCGTCTTGTGGTCTTCGAAGGAACTGTTGTGGCTAAAGAGTCCCCGTGGTGGTGATTTGGATTCTGGTGACTTCATACCTTGTGGTGATTTGGATTTGTGATCTTGCACAACAGCTGGTTGCACTCTCTGAAAAAAAAAAAAAAAAAAAAGAAAAGAAAAGAAAAGTTATACCTTAATGGACCAGTTTGTGTTTTTTAATGTTGACAACAGAATTAGATAACCAATAGTTTATGTTCTTCTTATCTAACCAGTTATTTTATATTCTTTTTATCTAACCAGTTATTTTATGCAGCATTACTTTTCAGTTTTCCTGCCAGAATGCTGTTTAGTCAGAGCGTGCTCTGCCTACTGAGGGCCACGTTGCTAGTTGATGTTCTAAGATAGCAATCTGTCTGGCGCGTGTTTTATTTTTGCCAATAGTGCTTGTCACGCCAGTACAGGTTTGAGCCAACTTGCGCATTAATCTTTTCTACCTAGCCTTTGGCTAACTTACGACTTAACTTAGTTTCAATTTGGAATTCATCACTTTTTAAGTTTCACTATAAATACTGGCTGGTTTTGTAAGCGCAAGAAGTGCTTTCGGTTATTTTATTTAAGTTTTTAATAAAAGGGTCTTTTACACCCTTCTCACGTTCTCTATTTTCTTACTAGATATAGAGATAAGTCGCTTAGATCCAGCTAGGGTCTCGTCTTAGTAAGTGTATGCTTCCAAAGAAGGTGGGACTGAAAAAGTCACTGAAAATTTCTCCTCACTATGCAAGGATCCTAAGTTTTACCAACGTTTATTTTATTTTAAAACTTTTCTATCTTTCTTATTTTCCACTTCCGGCCAGAATTAAATGCTTTAACTTGTTTATGCAAATTGTACTTGCTAACGCCCAAGTATTTAAGTTGTGGCTGTTTGCCAAGAGTTACAGAGAGACAGAAAGCGAGCCGCTTGCCACAGCATTCTTAGGAGTTTTCAATCAGTTGCTGCTTGCCTTTAAGGCCAGAGGTTTAGTCCTCTTGATAATTGAAAACGTGTTGTAGTTTCAGCAATTTGGCGTACTACGTACGTACCCTTTTAAAAAGGCCAATCTTAGTGTTAGGCATTTGTATACTAATTTAAAGTTAGCTTTTAGTTTGTAGTTTTATATTTTTACGTTCAGACCACAAGAGGTTGGTCTCTGTATCCCGAAGTACGGGCTGTGTTTGTCCTAGCTAGAATCACTAACACAATTTAGAACTGTTGGAAACAGGGTTCCGAAGGCGTCGCGATTTCATTACGAATTATGGACAGCGTTAGTTGCTCTGCTTTTTATTTCTGATCGCTTTCTTTTGCTACGTATTTTCACGAGGGTCAGTAATCACAGCATTGCTACTAAAAAGTGGTATTCAAAAGATATGAAGTATTTGAAAGAATCACTGGTGGTCATATGTGTCCTATTATGGACAATGAATTATAAAAACATACAAGGGTTTTTATCTGAACCTTAAGAACTACAAAACATATCAAATCTACTACGTAATTTTACGCGTGATCAATGATTATCTACAAAAGCAGGACCGGGACTAAGTATATTGCCATCTGGCGCAATTTTTTGTGTTCTTACATTCTGCTGCCCGGTGTTTCTTTAAGGTCTAACATTTTTTCACCCCTAAATCCTGCTTTCCAGTGCCTTCTCTAAAATCTAAAAATTTTTCCATTTCTAAATTTTGTTACATGGTTTCTCTCTAAACTCTAAAAATTTTGCTGTTCTTATCTTCTGTCGCCCTTCGCGAAAACACCCGCTCTGAGCAAAAAATACAGTATAGGGAATGATCTTTTGAGCTGTGCACCAAAGATATAGTGCAAAGAATTTCTTAATCTTTGATTCTAAAACTTCTAATGCCTTGGTACTAACGGTACCGCCAGGGAAGTTCCTAGCGGGGGTACAGCTCTTAAACGTACGCGGGCAGTTCAAAATCAGGGGCGGCCGGACTCTTACGATACCACGCGGTACTCCCAGCAATACCTAAACATTTTAAATTCATTTAATTACATGTCATATGTAAGTACGTTTTATACAATTTGTTATACGTAGGTACTTATGAGTATGAAATAAAAATTTTATTAACCATTGAGCATTTTTTTTTTAATTTGCGGGTGGCAATTTTAGGAAAGTTCGCGGGCTGTCTATATCCTAGGAACGGCCCTGGGTACATCGTTTAAGGCTAATTCAAGAAAAAGGCCTTTAATTCTATAACGATAAAAAAGTGATAAACATAAGAAAGCAATTTTTTATGAATGCGTCTGCAATACAGGGAATGTTTGCACATTTTTTAGATGGCTTTACTGTCAAAAAGTTGTCTACTTGGAATTTTCCTTTTAAACGTAGCTACGGTTTTGAAAGTATAAATTATTATCTGCTATATGACACTTTTGTTATGCTAAATGGCGCTTTTAAAGAAGCAGTGGATGGAAGGCTATTTTTCTGCTCTTTCTGAAGAAAGTTATTTGCAGCTAGTTATTAAAACACGCTGTGAAAGACATGTTTTTTTATATCTATAGCTACGGTAGGTAATATTGTCAGAAAAAAGGGGAAAAAAACAAAAAAAGTTTGGATCAAGTGGAAAAATTGTTCCAAAGATAAGATCAAAAGAAAATTTAAAAATAAATTAAGAGAGTGGGGAAAAAATGTTAAGATCAACTCCACATATTATGAGGAACATATTCCATGCCCAGTTTTCAATTACCCACAGTGCCATCAATCAGTATCTGCATCAAGACAAAGCAGGCAGCCATACGTCAAAATCCTCTGTTCATAAGCTTTAAAAAATAGAACAAAAAACGGATATCAAAGCCATACCCTTCACTCATATCACTAACAAATCGCTTGATGGATTTATTTACACCCATGGATTTTTGCACTTTTGGACTTTAGCAAAGTGGACTGTCCAAACGACAATCTACAACCCTCCTTGGACTTGAGAAAGCTCTTCAAGAGGAATGGGATAAAATAATCTTCCGATAATACGTAAAGCTTTCTTGTCTTGGTAATTACGGTGTAGAAAGATAGCGAAGAATAAGGGTTATCAAACAGAACGTTTAAAACATAAAACATTTAGGTAAAGTATTTCTTTTAATACAATGAAAATCGTCTCACAATGTGCAAACAGCCTCTGTATGAGGTCTTACCTTCTTGCCTTCAGAATTTCATTTGAAAATTAATTGGAATTTCCTCGAGATCAGATAATTTGAACTTAAAAACCGAAATCATAAATATAAGATTTAATTATATCTTTCGATTACAGAAATTAATTAAGAACATTCTTTGCTTAATACTACAGTAAAATATTCATGACATTTGAGGCTGGCTCATGAAGTTTAATTATGAGAGTATGATCAGGTAAAAGAACGAACGTTCTTACTGTTATAGAATTAGATTTGTATTGCATTTTGTGAACCAGAATATCTTCATCAAATAATTTGAAATTACGATAATAATTGAAACCTGTTTTGTAATATTTCGGAAATATATGAAATAGGTAGATTCTGAATACCTGCATATACTCTTTGAGCCGGACCAAGGTTTCGTTCATTTCTTCCACTGTTTGTTCCGCTATTTCTAATTTCTGCAAAAAAGTAGCTAGGTGTAAACATAAATAGATAAAGACTGTAAGACAGATGCTGATTGAATATCAAAATTACAGCGAATAGTGGAATTTTTGGACAAATAAGACTAGAACACAAATATAACTTCTACTTTACTCATATCCTTTTACTTTAAAATCCTTTTACTTTAAAAGTAAAATTTTCAAATATTATTCTTAATTTAGACTTGCTCACCTTCACTTTTTCTTGAAGAGCCGTTACTGCCTTATCTAAACTTTTGACTGTACCTAATACTGGATAAATATCCTATGAAAGGAAAGAAATATTTATATACATATAAGCAGCATTTTTATATTACAATACTTCGAAATGCGACACATTTTTCATAAAGAAATTTGAAACATACCTGCAACTGTTCTTTAAGTTTCAAGTTTTCCGAGATTGACTCCGCTACTTTATCTTCAAGCACCTGTAAAAGATATTTCATTAAATTTGGAGTATTTTACGTGCAGTTAACCACACATAACGTCACCGAATCCAGAACGGTTGCGTACTGACAACAAACTAACATTTAACTGGATATAGGCGTTTCAGCATTAAATGTCCTTTAGCCTTGACTTTCATGACAAACTAAATAAAACTGTAGATAAATACAGTGGAACCTCGAGATACGAGTTTAATTTGTTCCAGCACTAAGCTCGTATAGCGAATTTCTTGTATTTAGAAACAAACTTCCCCATTGAAAATGATGGAAATCCAGTTAATCCGTTCCGCATCCTCATAAATATGAACATAAAAATCAATTTTTCTAATAAATAACCACTGGTAAATAATATAACCGTAGTTTACTTTTATGATAGCTTCCGACACCGAATCGCCTTTTAATTGCTGCTAGTTAATATACCAACAATAGCTTCTCAACATCTAGAAGTTTTGGACGGTGCTTGGACGTAACGGTAACTCCTTTGGCCACATCAACTTTCTTAATTTTTTCCTTTTTGTTCAGAATAGTGCAGATCGTCGATGTCGAACGGCCGTAAGTCTTCGCCAATTCCTTCGCTGTTACACCACACTTATGTTTATCTATGATTTCTTTCTTAATTTCAATGGCCATGGTTTCCTTTGTTTTCTTTGCAGTACTATCTGAGGTAATAATCTTCTTGGGAGGCATCGTGAAAAAAATTACTTTCACATTAAATGTAAAAAACAATTAACTCACAAGCATACAAACACGCAGATGAAAGAACACTGAGTGATCTGACTAGAGGATTTTTCGAGTCGAGCCGGATCGGGAAATGGCTCCACGCATACATACCAACAACCTGGCTTGTTGCTCGTTACTCGAGTCAATGCTCGTATTTAGAGACGGATTTTTCGCTCATACTCTCCTCGTATCTCGAATTTCTCGTATGTAGAGGTGCTCGTATCTCGAGGTTCCACTGTCAATAATTTGAGAGTCGTATAATATATTGTAACATTCGCTTAAAATTCCCTTATAGCTTGCAAGTATTATTTTCCCCACGAAATTAATGAAAATCTAAATGATAATTCTTGTCCACTGTAGGTAACATATAGCATTAGAAACATCTTTTATTAATAACAATAGCAATGAAGATACTCATAAAATTTATCAGTTGGTTATATTATCAGTATATCAATTAGATATAAAATTAAATTAATAAATGTATAAGTTATTAAAAAGTATATTTATTACATTTAAACCTGCTATGTTCTTAATCATCAGCAAAAATAAACTCATATTGAAAATATTATGCGATGTCGAATGGCAACACTCTACGAACTGGATACTTGTCAAACAGTGTAAAATCTTATTCTTTTGGAATGAAAACATTTGCAAGACAAGGTGGATAAATACCCTGATACCGTAATGTAACGGTCTCCAATTCGAAAAGAATTCCCTGTAAAGATATATCTAACATCAGTAATCATCTAGAACAGGCCATCTCAAACTAATTTTCATTCGTTAGCCTATTTGTTCTCAAGAAATGTTCCGCAAACGCTTTGTATTGTTGTCGTAAGTCCCTGACTTAAAAAATATGAAATCTGTTGCTAATTTCAATACGTTAATAATAATATTTACAGTCTTTATCAAATAATTAAAGAATATTCTTTAAAATAGTTTACACACACATAATCAAGAACCAAGCAAACAATAACCGTACTTACCTTTGAGATACTTTCGAGTATAATTTGATACATATTTCTATTGTGTGTGTAAAAATTTACTAATTTTTCTTAAAAAATAAAATGTTTAAAGTTTTTCTACGACTGAAAATGATTTTCACGCAACCCTTACGTTGAGTCTTGACTTAAATTGTTCAACTAACGTTCGGCAGGACACTTCAGACAGATGGTACTATATTTTTAAGGTCATTAAAATATAAAATAATGCGTTCTTTTTACATATAAAATAACAAGAAGGAATCATTCATTTATCAGCATTGATGTCAAGAATTTAAAATAATGCAATATATTTAAAATATAGTTCTAAACTATGGCTGTCAAAAGAAAGAATCTACAGTAGAGACCCGGGAACTCCACAATATGTGGACGAGAGAACATAATGAGAGAACGTTACGTTACCGAAAATCTCGAGCTGCGGAAGAAGAGATCAGCTATTTGTAACTCATAATATTTCGTCAACCACCTAAATCTAAGGGAAATTTTAAAAGCTTTCGTGTTTCTCCAGTCTTTAAAGGACCAGTTTCATTTTTATTGCCATATTTAACTTCCTTTTTCTTCTCGTAGCACCTGTAAGACTCGCATGACGTAGCACCTGTAAGACTAAATTTAAACTGAGAAACTCTACACAGAATCAACTGAAAGTCTAGCTTAATACGTACAGCTATCAAACCTCAACAGCTAGCTATAGAAAGGAGATATGTAAGCAGTAACCGGCAGCGGTTACCTGACTTTCCTTTAGCCATTTTGTTACTTATAGGAGAAATGGGGATAGATTAGAATTTCTACGAAAAGTACAAAAACCTGTCACCAAATTCATTATACAGGTTCCAAGATACAGGGTCACAAAAAGACAAAAATTGCAAGATTAGAATAGCATTGCAAAGCTTTGAAAAGAAAAGGAAAATATGCAGATATTCATGCGCATAAATGTGTACTATAATTACAGTAATACACGGCTGCTCAGACGGTAAAATGTTCAGTGACGCTGACTGCCGTACCGAAGGCCGGGTTTCTGTCTCTCGGAAATATGGATGTTCGTAAATGTATAGTGTCTGTGCTGCATGGAGGCACTCAAATTATATGGGGAACGGGAAAACTCTCGAGACGTTGGTGGTAAGGAAAGAGGGGTAGAAGACCCTCGAACCCATCCCTCGGCGTGCTCTTCTTCAAAACTGGGGCGGAACTGAGCATAGTCGTATCGTCACCTGTAAGAATTGTAAGAATTGGAGGCTCCCTTCAGCCCACCTGGACACAAGTGTCCCCATAGCTCAAAAGAAGGGGCCCAGTATCTCCACAAACGAGGGCAGCCAGTAACCCAACCACCCCCAAATGTCACCTGTATGCTGCTCAAGACTCTTGCCAATGACAGACGCAGTCTTGTACTCCTGTAGAGACATGAAAAATTAGCAATGCCCTCACCGGTATTCGAACCACGGAGCTCTCGAATACGCGTCGAGCGTGCTGACCACTACACCACGAACGCATGCTAAAGAGGCCGGAGACTTGGCCGAACCTTATACTCCTTGCGACAATAAAATTCGTGGGTTTGTTCTGATTACGTCAGACAAGTAAAATTACTCAGAATACGCCACAATAATATGTTAATTAAAATATATGTATACTTTGGCAATGTGTAGATGACGTTAGCAATCACTACAATCAGTTATTAGTAAATCGCCATATTATTTCAGAGATAATGCTTTGCTTGACCTGCAGATTTAATCGATTAAAGAAAGGATCATTGAGTTATACGAAATGTCGTATAGAACCACTGTGGTTAAGCTAAATAATTATCATTAGGGAAAAATACGTTCTAGTACGCAATAACTTGTAATATTATAACTGCATTGAATAAGTTACGAACTGCACGTAGCTGTAGCTAAGAAACTAAGTTTGGATCTTTAAGAAATGACTTTAAGCTATTATTTTGAGTTCATTCAAAACTTAGGAATAACCAAGAGCCGGTTATGCATTGCTCAGCCCTGAAATGTAACATCAAAATAGAAATTTCTAAGAAATTTGAAATTCACTGGATCAATAGATAATTGATAATTGAGAGTAGATGAAAGTAACAGTGCTTTATCTTGAAGTCAACGAGTACTTCCTTTCGACTGCAAATTTCTGTGAGTATATACTTTCTCAAAGAGAAATACTTTTCAGCATCAGTCCTTTAGCAGAAGAACAAGTAAGTTGTAAAGTGTCGCTGTTGCAGTTTTGACGACACAAAACTCATCACAAACATTTTGATGAATTAATTTGAATAATAACTTGCTTTTAAGCAAGTTATCATTCAAAGGAATTCATTAAATTATAGGAGTAAATTGTAATGGATTGATAGAAAAGTTAAGCATATACAATTGATGAAATATTGGAACAAAACATTCAAATCATTTCGACTTATATGAAATATGATATGATCGCCATGTGCGAAAATACAAGCACAGCCACGCCTCGGCATGCCATCAATGAGGTCATTAATCATTGGTGAGGAATATTTTGCTATGCTACAAGCATTTTTAAGACATAAAAGCTCTAAAATTTGCAACTAGCTCTTTCTTTTGCAATAGCCCAGCTAGTGATGTCCCCCAAATGAACTTAATGGGAAAGAAGGTGTGACAGATCAGGGTAGCACCTCAAGTCCAGCAAGCTATTCGTCGTAACATAAGCAATATGTGACCTAGCCTTGTCGTATTGAGAACCGGCTGCTGAAATATCTGATAAGAATGGCCTTTGTTAATTAAATCAAGGTAACATTGAGTTGGCAGTATACCAGGAAGAATACAAAAGGGATTCACCTACTATGCTGTCTCCCACACCATTATACCTGAAGTTGAGATGGCATGACTTTCGCTCGTGAAAGCTTGTTGATGGCATTAGCCAAGTAATCTTCACACTCCAACCATATTTAACTTCAAGACAAAGGCGAAACTCATCGTGAAGAGGACAGTCTTGCATTCTGAATCAACGGTAACCTACATTGTCACTTGTATGTACACCATCCTTTAAGTGCAATGGCTTGGGATAAATGGAACGTTTGTCTCGAGTTGTTTATGTCGAAACCCATTATCATGATTCTGGTGGTTTATGCAGACATTGCTGGACTTCAGTATGTGACATCCTCGCAGTACAATTAAGGATCACTTCGCGCCATTCTCCTAACTCGACAATTCTTCCGAACAGAGTTTTTCCTTTAGCCACTGTTTGCTGTCATTCCCAGTTCGTTGTTGCTCTCGTAACCGTTTAGATACAGAGCACTGAACAGTGCTGACAATTTGTCGAAATGTGCAAAAACCTTCCATGGTTATTAATCACATTTCTGAATTAAAGGGTTTTATCCCTCCTAATTTGAGATATGTGATGATAAATGGCATCTCAACTAACTCCAGGCTTTGAACTGTCAATGCGCAAGAGTTAATTTAGTTTCTAATCGTTCGCGTGACAAAAGAAAAGCATTTAATCAGATTTCTTCGCTATTTAGCCTTTCCTTTTTTTGTGGCATGTCTTAGCTTCATCTACAATCTCTAATTAGAGAGGCAGATTAATTAGAGAGTTTTCATAATTTTGCGGTTTCTCCTTGCTGTGTTTAAAGTTAAGCAAAGTATTCCGATAATCTGCACTTCTGGCCCTTCAATGGAGTACCGACCTTCCTACTTTTGATTAATAATATTTGATATAGTTTTCCCAACACCTTCAAAAAATTGCTCAAAATAGGTCTTTTGGATTTTAAACTTCTTCATATCTCGATTTTAATGTTAAGCAGATTAAAAAATTCAAAATTTACCTCCAAAAATAATAATAAATAATATTTTCTCCAAAAGAATAATAATAAATAAAATAAAGGCTAAAGCATATTGACAATTCCTCATTTAAAATACATCTGTTAAATAATTTATCTTCAGATGCTTACCTTTATATTGATTCGATACTGAGACATAGATTCTGCTATCACGCGAACATGACTTTCAATATCTTTTGAATGTTCTTCGAGTTCTTCAGCTGTTCCCTAAAAATCGAGAAGAAATTGGAATTGTCAAAAATAAGTGGCAGGACATAACGTAATTGAAAATTTGATGACTAAAAAGATTGTACCTTAAAAGAACAACCTGCATCCGAAAGAGGACAGCATCTTGGCTTCATAGGACAAGCTACTTCGTGAGTAGGTAGCTAAAAGAAAGGTATTTGATATAAATTTTTTGAAGATATAATTAAATCACTTTGAATTTACATATTACGGATACAAAATAAATACAAATTTGCCTTTCATGTTGGCCTAATTGTAAGAAAGAACAGTGCCAGCCCGCGCAATCTTTCTAGCGTTATTCATAGTTCTTTGAAAGGGTTTGTTGCTTTAGGATTCGTCTTGAGTGTTATTTCGAACGTTCAAAAATGGCGAATTTGTAGTGTGTGTCTTCTCTTCCTTTCAAAATCCATTTTACACATTTTCCCGTTTAAATTTCTGATTTATAGAGTGTATTTAGGAGTAGAAAATATTCAGCTGGTTACCAATTCAGTGGAATTAGCAAATTGCGCCATTTCTAAATAAATTTCGGCCATGTGTTATTCATATTGAAATTGTCTCCCACTGCTGTATATAATTTGATGTATTTGTTTGGTGTTTTCCAAAAGCATCATAGCAGATACATCGCGGACGAAAAAGTCGAGGAAAAAACAACGCAAGGAGAAAACATTCCAGTTCTAGAAAATCGTGGTACAAAACAGTGTCATCGAAAATATCGTGGTAAAAAATAAAGCACCTACAAATAATCACATACCGATAACACTGCATACATGCCATTTTCAGGCTTTAAAAGATGTATGTGCATATTTGCATAATGATTTGTGCGAGCAAGAAGGAATGAGGAATATTTTTACTTTTATATTTCACACTTTTGAATTATCTAATACATTTTTGCTGATAAAAAATAGAAGGAAATTTAAGAAGCCAAAAACTGAAAAATGAAAAAATTAATAAATAAATAAAATAAAATAATAATTCTTGGTATAGTAGTTAATAGAATTTTAAACTTATAGTTACATAATAAAGGTCACTAACTAATTAATAACCCTCATTGCAGAGACATTAGGTTGTTTCGAAGCCGGAGACATCAAAAATGAGCAATGCCCTAGCCGGAACTCGAACTTCGGACCTCTCGAATACACGCCGAGTGTGCTGACCATTACTTCATGAAGGCATGCTGAGAAGGAGGGTGAAATACCCTGTACATAAATCTTCAGTGGCAATTTTTCATGAAAAATATAGTCTAAATAAGATTAGAAAAAGGAAAATGAGTAACTGCATGCGGTTACCTCTACTAAAATTATTTTAATTAATTACCAAATTATAAAATTCTGTTAACTTCTATAAAATTAACATTAATTTTCTACTCATTTTCATTGCTTAAGATTCCTTCTTAATGTTTCAGCAAAAATTATTAGTTAATTTAAAATATAAAGGTAACAATATTTTTCAGTTCTTCTTACGCTCATAAATCATATGGAAATATGCATTAAATTTTTTTAAAGACTGAAAAACGCATATTTGCGATGTTATCGTAATGAAAACGCCTGTCTGCGATGTTACCGTCATGTGGTGATTTTTAGGTGCTTTATTTTTACTATGATATTTTCGATCACGATGTTTTTAGAATTGCGTTGTTTTCTCCCATGATGTTTCGCACGTAACGTTTTCGTCTTGCTGTGTTTTCTCCGCGATCCTTTTGCCGCCATGTTTTGCCTGTAATCATTTGGCTTTGCTTTATAGCTTCTGAAAATTGTAAAAAGCAAATAAAAACTGTTGTTCATGCCTCTTTTAGCTAATCCATGGTTGTACATAACGTTTACGTAATTTTTGCCATTACTGAATGAAGAATTCGCAATCATTTATGAAATCCAAATATTATCGTTCTGCTATACTTTTGCTTCCGGCTACCGGAGTTTTTCTTTGAACAGATTCATAAATAATGCCTTTCTGAAATTCTCTATAAAGGTGTAAAGATCCTTGTGCAAAACTAACAATCTGATTTTTTGGCATGATAATCTATAAGGTCAGTGAGTTTTTAACCTCCAAGGAAACTGTTTAGCTTCTTTACCAATTTTACCACTAGATATGTGCTCCTTGAGTTAATTGTAAATGAATAGAATGTATGTTGACGACATTCAGACATTTGACCGAACTTTTCAATGCTATTCCAAAAAGCAGAAAGAGGAAACGAATTACTATCTTGAGTACTTTAAAAGGTTGGATAAGGATTGAAATTAACACAGTGATGTTCAAAGAATGAATTTTGAATAATTTGAACTAAATAGCTTTATTATTTATTAATAAACAACCTTTCAGTAAAATAGTTTTGAAAATTATGGAACACACTGTACATTTATTGAAGATTAATAAATGTTATTAACCTCAAAGTTACTTCTATTATTAAAGTCGAATTAAGATATACCGATAAAGGAAACAAGAAAAGAATTACAACAGTAAAAAAGTCTGATCTATTGACAAAATTTAACATCAGTTTCGAATTTTTCATCTCTATTATTTGCCCAAAAGTTTGACTTATCGAAATTCGATTTAGAAACTCTGCAGCAATCTTATCCGGTCTCGAATCAAAATTCTAGAAAATTGTTTGATCCAAATTGAGTGGAAATTTAATTTGTTTTCATGGGTGAATATCTTTCTCAACTCGATACCTACTCATAATTTTAAAATCGAACCAGATTAGTTAAGTGCTTAAACTCGTATCTTTTCACTATAAGTGTTTTTTTATACATCCCGCAATTCATTCCAATAAAGCTCTTCAAATAAAGTAATCTGCCCTTAATTTTAGAGATGCGTAACAAGCTAAATTGGTCAAAGAGCAAAATTTAAAAAGAAAGACAGGTGCTTCCAAATGCGCACTTTATGGAGAGATCACGAAACAGGATGATTGTGATGGAAACGTGACTTCGAAGTACGTCGTTCAACCTTTTACAGGATACGTTTATAGGCGTGCAGACGAAATCATTAAGAGCTACCTACGCAAGTTATTGGGTAATAAATAATAAGCGTTTATTTTTAGGCGCCACACCTTTATAAGATGACTGACTCTGAATCAGCACTATCGATTTTGAAAAACGATCCCACTATTTATGTTAGCGATTTCCAATCCTTTTGTTCGGTTTACATGAATAACTGACACACCCGTGATATGGCAATATGTTGATTTAGATTCTGGACTGCTGTTAGTTTTATTATGATACTCACTATAAAAAAAGTCTATTCATCTAGCAAATCTGTGCAACTGCCTGGAAAGTCCATATTCCTGTACTATGAACGGCTTAGCCAGACATGCAAAAATAGCAGAAAATTCGGAGACACTGAACGCAAAGAAGGAATTTAAAAGAGCAGGGGGAAATATCCCAGAATACAATAAAAAGTGCGTTGCTCAACCATTCTGTCTGCTCTGACTAATTGCATGGTAGTGCTCTTTGCATTAAGTGAGAATGTCTCTAAGATGGTATGATCAGTTTAGAGGTTTCGGGAAAATTCGCTGAATGTGCATTCCGCCTTCAAGGAAGCAGGCTAGTTTTACCGACGAATCATCGGGCATGTGTTACGAAGCAATGATACAATCAAACGGCATTGCTGGTCCAACCAGGATGTCCATAACTAAGGTGAGGATACCGATAGAACTAAGGTAACAACTTCTGGGATGATTTTCTAGTAATTGGTGGAATAAATATACACGACAGCTTTGTCATCTGCCTTTCAGAACTATTTACCTATATCTTCCGGACGTGTGGTGTCTTAAAATGTTATTATAAAAAGGCTGGCGGACATTGAACTCCATTGTCGGTGTTCGTTGAAACATCGACTACTCTGATAGCTTTGGCATTGAAACAGTAACATTTATACTCTTGGTGTTGTTGTTTGGATGATTGGAAAGCATCGGATGGGAATCATTTAGTAATTATTTAAGGTTCTTTCTTGACTCAGATGACTTACTTACTTAGTTATCACCAGCTGAGTTGCTGTATCGCCTGTTATATGACTATCAACATTTGTACTCAATTAGTAGAGCATTCTGTTGTTGCCAGGCCCAGCCAAAAATATCTTCGGAATATTAAAATTTGTAGCGGAATTTATAAAGTTACTTCGGAAGATTATTTGTGACCTGTAACTATTAAAGAGATCCTGTCAAGATTTTTGACTGTGCTGAATGAAGATTTTATCAATATTTTACGCATTGTGGTTCTGTATAAAACGCGTGTGGAGAAAGCTTTCCAATACTGCTAATCTCAAGTCATTGTGATCATCACATTTGATGTAACCATTTAGGAAACCACTGCTTATGATACTTTTAATGATACTTCACAACATTTTAAAGCTCTAATTATACGTCAGACGATGCCCGTCTATATGCAACGAATGCTTCCAAGATATATGTCTGCAGAGCGTCATAATTTTGTCTCGGCCAGCAGACTTTAATTAAAAGTTTTTAATTTAAAGGCCTATGGTTATATATTAAGTTAATATTGTCCTTGGCAAACTACAACCTGCGGGTCACCGAGTTACCCATTTCATAATTTCATGTGGCTCATCTGAGGTCCGAAAATAAAGGATAATATGTGAAAATAAATTTTAAAATTAAAAATATGAAACGAGCACAAAAATAATAAACCAAAGATAAATAATAACAACAGCATTTTCGTTTGATAATTGAAAATTGCAATAACGAACACTACCCTTTTTTATTCATAAAAAATAAAAAATTGTAACATAATTTCAAGGAGAAATCGATAAGTTTGGCAACGCCTAGTCATAACCCATAATTCTAAAAAATTGGCTTTGCCATTTTGTTCGAATTTGGTTCAACTTATAAAAGTGAGCAAATATTTTCACTATTATTATTTCACTATTATTTTCAGTAAGATTATTATTTCACTATTAATATATTTCACTATTATTTTCAGTAAGAATAGGAGCAACTTAACTACTGAAAATTCAGATGCTTGCGTTTGTCTTAAGACGACTAACTATAAGGCAGACTTAACTAAATTTATGTCACAAATTCATAATCAGGGGAGACATTCATATCGAAGATAAAATAAAGTTAATTCGTTATTTTTTTTTTATATTAATAATAATAATTATAATTTTTATGTTTGAAGCGCATTTTAATTATATT